CGGCCAAAGCAGGCTAAAACGCACCCAACGGAGAACATGGATACTGTGCCACCAGAGGTTCCGCCAGCCATATTTGGGTAAAATATTATCTTCGTGCTCTATCTTATGGTGCTTATCGTTATCTCTGCCTATAGTCCTTCCACGAGAACAAGAACTCGAACAGCAGCCGCACCGCCGAAAGACGAATCCCAACATACACCCCCAGTACAAACACCTCTCCAGGATCCCGATGAAATGTGCGCCAAAACACTCACCATTGCTACACTTTAACCTGATGATCTGGTTTCGCGTAGCATGCTCGTATACCCTCAGAGTGGGACTGGCGCCGTGAATATTAATCGAGCGGAATTGCTTCGATTAGAACCAGGGGAGTTTCTTAATGACACTCTCATCGAACTTGGACTCAAGTAAGGCTGTCTGGAGATAAGCGTTGGTTATATTAATTACTAAAGACGCATATAGACTATGGCTTAACGAATTACGCGCCGACCACCCTGGACTTGTGGACCAAATCCACGTGTTCAACTCGTTCTTTTTCAAAAAGCTCGATAGTGGTCGGGGCAAGCGTTGCGATTACAACAGCGTCAAAAAATGGACGTCGAAAATTGATCTTTTCAAGAAAAAATTCATTATCGTTCCCATCAATGAGCAGTATGCACCACTTTTCGTGGCTTATTTGTTATTATACACTAACCTCAACGTATTTCTAGCCTCCACTGGTATCTAGCCATCATTTGCTTTCCCGAGCACGTTCTACGCGCACCTCCCCCACAACTACCAGTCCAGCCGGCCCGGAAAACTCGCTCCAGTAACGCGGAGACTATCAAAAGCGATGAACCACGGGCATCCCCGGAGAGCGATATGCTGAACGCCGAGCAAAACTCAGTCGTGGACGTAGACGCTGGGTCTCCTGTGGAGCAGGGCCAAATGGAGATCGACACCTACCTCGCTGACCGATCGCAAAGTTTGGTTTTAGAAGACGTTGAAATGGCCACAATCCCTCCCGAGGCCCAAATCAACATGGATATAAAGCCGGCCGCATCTGCGGCGACACCGCCCGTGCTTGATATGACGGGTGACGACCTTGCTAGTGAAAATCAAGATAATGCTAATGCGTGAGTCCTGTATTGGCGCTTAATTTGCGTGGCGTAACTAAGTTCTAAATACTGCGCTTTTTACAGACAAAAATGCCGGATCTTGATATTCGATTCGCTCAGGGGGAAGCATAACCGCACGATCCGAATTCTTCGAGAATACCTCCAGGCAGAAGCTCAAGAAAGACACGGAAAGCTCGTCGAAACCAAGGATTCTACACTTAGCGGCGGACTCATCGAGGATAAGCATTTGCCTGTGAGCGATTCGATTTAAAAGCTCTCGAAGGGTTTCTTACACTCATCCAGGTCCCGGAACAGCCAAATTGGTGCGATTGCGGCGTTTATTTGCTACATTATGTTGAGGCGTTTGTTGCAAACCCACTCGAGCTTCTTGCACTCCCCGCTGTAAGTCCCTATACCTCAGGTACAGCTTTGGGTTTCTGTAACGACGATATTTGGTACCAGCCAAAACGCAAATCACCGCCCGAGGAAGTCGCGCATTACGATAAGCTCTGGCAGAAAGAAAAAATAACCGACAAACGAACGGCCTTCCGAGAGCAGGTCAACAAACTCTCGGAGGACTGGCGACAGGCCAAGTCAAAAGGGACACAAGATGGGCCGTCCATAACTGAGGGGTCCACGTCTGACGCGCGTCGCGCTTCTCCACTACCGAGCATGGGGGGAGAACTATCTGTAATCGAGATCGACCCCCCCAGCAGCAAGACACCTACAGGGGAACCAACTACCCCCACCCAAGCACGAGGGCCCCTTAGAAGCGGAACGTTACCGCTTTTGCCAACCGACATAGGGCTATCTTCACCGCGTAGCCATAAGTTATCCTCTCTGCCAGATCAGGACCAAGACCGGGAAGTGAATGTCCTAGACACTCCCAGCCCAGGCAACGATACTAGAGCCTCTGAAGACCACTCCTCTATCTCCGGTCACAAACGCGCTAGGCGAGGAACGAAGGGTGGTAAGCGCCATAGTCACCCTTCGTGGAGTAAAACCCGGGCTTCAGTTTCCTCCGTCGAACTTTAATCTTCCTTTTGGGTCCAAACGCTTGTTGCTTTATTCTCACTTATTCATGGGTCGAGCAGGTGTAATTTTTAACTCGTACTTATATTCCACGCCATACGTATATACCTCAAACGTCCGCAGTAGCAGCGTTATAGAAGTGGATCGTTTGGTCAGCACATCCCGCCGGTGTGTTGTACGCATACGGACCTGAGGCCGGAATGGTTAGGACGCAATGAACGGACTTTGCGTCATTTAAGCCCCTTACCAAGGTTAGCATAAAGAACTTGTCCTTCTGTAGCATCCGTGCAGGCCAGCCATGCTGCATTATTTGGCCGGGTGATCCCGTCAACAGTCCTGTCGGTTATATGATTTAAGGGCGCGCATATAACCATATGTGGGATTACTGTACGTACCAAGTCAACGCATCACCACTGAATACGAAGGTTCCATTTGTGGCGCTGCTTGCTTGCCACGAAACCTTGAGTTTCACGATGGTGGTGTCCTTACGAGGCTCGACCCAGGCATACAAGAGTGCTCCACTCGGCGTGATCTGGGTGAGCTTACCGTTTGTGACGGCGAACTGGCCTACATTCAAGTTCATTTAGACTTTGGACAAAGAAAGTGATATAGGGAGACACGGACCAGCTGTGGATGCATCGGCTAGAACGGCGTCGGTCGCAGTACCCGGCTTGTAAGACTGCAAATATTTGTGGAAATTCGGGGCTGCGACAGCACGGATCCAGAGATACTGGGAGGGGGTGGAAAAATACGAGTGAGCCAGTTCGCCATTAGCTCCTCTACGCCCCTGCTTATCCTGACTGTCAACAAGCTTACATTTGGCAGAAGAGTGGGCCCAACGGTCCCGCCACCCGTGATCGTAGTGCTGGGCTTGGCAGTCGTCGTGTCTGTGATGGGCTTGGTTGTGGTTGTGGGAGTTGTCGAGGATGTAGTCGTGGGGGCCGTTCCCGGAAGGCACTGATAAAAGTAGTCTACACGTCCACTCCGTCAGCACTGTAAGCATAATAGGGAGTATATTGGTTACCGTTTAGCTTAGTACAAACGGAGCCCGCAACGCAGGTTGTCGCACCACTCCACCCAATTCCACCGCACTGTACGCGTATAAAACGTTCAGCATTTCTCGTGTACACCATGAACCAATCAAAGCGGTATACGCACCTGGCCGTACAAAGGCGACTGTGCGAGGGCACTAGAAACAAGGAGACCAGCGGCTAGAACAATCTTTCCAAGCATGTTAACCAGTAAGTAATCGAGGGTGCCAAGCGACACGAGTTCAACAGTTCTTTTTATACCGCGACAACGTTGCCATTCTTGCGGCAATACTCTGGTTTCTAGGCTATTCGCCGGTTCTACTCCAGTCAATCCGAACCTTGGTTTTGCCGATGAATTCTATAACGAGGAAACCTCGGTGCTCAAGCGCGGCGGCTGAATACCGGGAGTAGACACGACAGCACGTGCCAGACATGTCTCCGACAAACCTCACAGTCCTAGCCGATAAAGCGCATGCACTCATGACCACACAGAGGGTGTTCATCTGTTACTCCATTGTGTCACCTGCTAACATGCGCTTGTCCAATGCCCGGGCTAGCTCCGCTGCACGAAATTCACAATCCTGGGTCAAAGCTCAAATGAACTGCTACGCGAGAGACCAGCAACCTCACTCACCTTTATTAACGACGTTATGTATGCAGCGTTAAAGTCCACGGGCGAGTTTAGCCAGGAACCTAGTAGTAAAGACGTTTGCGAAGACCCGATTTTCGGATTTGGACACGAAAAGACGAGTGAAATGCGGCTCGGAACGCTACGTTCTTCTGAGGTGGTTGCGTCAAGGAAGTGTATTGGTGGAAGCTGCCAAGGATACTTTCAGGAAGTGCAAAAGACCAAGATATGTTACTTTACCATATTATAAGTAACGCACACGGGTAAGCTTTCTCTCTCGGCAAATGGCTCGCCGTCGTCCCAATAATCCGGCAGTTCAAAGTCGCCTGCGCCTGTCTTCCCGCCAGCTGGGCGTCGTAGGTGAACATCAAGAACGCAATACTAATCTCCAAGCGTACCAGTTTGATGTCTCGTCTTGACCACACTTGCAAAAGCGTCTCCTTTTTGCGTGCGATCCGAGTCACGAGCACGAAACGACACTGGATTGGTGCTGGAGCAATGGATCAGGTTGCATAGTAAGCCGCTAGTATCCTATTTACCCACCGCGGAATGCGAAGGTCCCAAAGAGCACCCCGTATAGACATCCAAATTACATCGACCAAATTTCCATCGTCGGATATAACCAGAGAATCGACGTGCACGAGCCAAGACTTGTGCCCCGAGACGATCGTAAATTGAGCGTTAGGGGCGAGAAATGGAACGAGAGCAGCTGCACATTGGTTGGACAGCTCAAGCGAAAGGTCGTCAATTGCCTGACCAGACAGGTGTGGATGAGACCCAGGCGTGCTTCAAAATAACTCTTAGTTCACGAATCAACTAGGGACATAAAAAAACGCACCAGGTCACAGCAACCTCGACCCGCCCTCCGTCTCTACCATCTGCACCCGCATACCTTGTTCCATTCTTTTCAACCTCGAGTTTAATTCCCGTCCAAACTTCCGTTTCGCCAACACGCGCGCGAGCACTGCCATTAGTGGTGGGTGCCACTCCAAGCTCAAGGCTGATGGGTCGGTAGGCTAACGCGCCCCGACCATCCCCTCTCAGTTGGCTAGAATCGGATGAGGTTCCAAGAAGTGAGGTTCGTATATATGACGCTTCCGCCTTTGAAAGCATGGTGGTGGTAAGGACTCGCAGTGGCTATGCAGACGTTCCCTTTCGAAGATCAACTCAAAATTTTACCTATCGGATTAACAACCATGAGTGAACTGATAAGGCCGCCTGGCGAAATGGTATCGCGTCTGACTACGATATGTATTGATCAGGAGATTGCAGGTTCGAGCCCTGCGGTGGTCATTTTTGCTACCCAGACACCCCCAGTCTTAGCGTTGTGTAAATCGGTAGAGCATGTTCCCGTTTGTGTGAATCGACCTGGATCGCCGTGTTCTACAACGAGCAGCCCAGGCGCCAAATAATCTACCGCCCGAAATTCGATATATGTATTGGACTGTACCACAGCCCAGAAGACTGCCGGTTCAAATACGAGTGCGAAGGCGGACACATCCCTAAGTGGTCTGGATGGACTCGTTTGAATTCTGTGTGTGTATTGGCAACTTTTTTCAACGGACTGGACCTCCTCTCGTTGTGTTGACGGACTCAACTGTATTTGTGTTTATCCCCTGTTCGCACACACGTTTTTGATTTTTAATTCGTTTTGTTGTTCCTACTGATTGGCAAGAAATGCATTGCATACACATACTTGATAGAGATTTGAGGGTGAGCTGGATTTGATAAGGTTGATCGGGTTTGCGCTGCGACCGAAGCCGTGCTTCTGTGGCTAGACACTTGTGGAGCTCTCTGCTCTCAACGGCCACCCGACCGGGTTCGCTCAGCTAGCTCGGATGGAACGTGTTTTTCAATCCAACTCGCCGTTTCAAGGCCATGCCTCGCTTACATTCCCGGAACGTGCATCTACTTACGAGGCTCAGTGCCATGCCCCTCCCGGTTCAAGTAGCCCCCGCGGGGTTTCGAGTTCCGTGAGTTTACACAGTCGACACCCGCCTATACTTCATTTCACTGGGTTTGCTTTGAGCAACCCCTGTCGATATCACGATCAATACGTCTGATTAGTCGTTTCCCGCCAGGACCTTTTCCACAAAGGTGTTTTGCGGTATAATTTTTGGTCGTTCCAGCTCCCAGAATGCCCCGATTGCCGACTTGATTGGCTACAGAAAGACAGCTGGCCTTTATACTACCAGTATTTCCTAATGGAAACCACCCACAACGGCCGGCTGTATGGACTGAGATTCGAAATACTAGGCAAGATTGATCGCTCTCGTATGGCAATCCAAGCACTTGGTTTAAATGGGCCGCGAGCCGGCGCTGTAGGCAGTGCCAAGTTTCAAGTACAAGTTCAGGAGTTCGGCGAGCGATGATTTTATGGAACATGATCCTCCGATCAACTTGATTGCTTCCATGGGGGGCGCAGACGACCCACTGTTTCGTAACCTAGAGAACTTTGTGCTGCGGACTGCGACGGCTGACACTTTACCTCGGTCCAACCACTCGATGTCTAGAGGAGACACTCGAGAACCGCCAACCTTGGGACATCTCTGTCGGGTTTTGTCCTTAGTTCTCCGCCGAGCTCCGGACTATAGTATTGAGGCTCAAATTTGTTATTTTCTGTGTCATATGGGCTTTCGGGGCTATGCACCCCTTTGCCTCGTTTGACCTGGGCACTGCATGCTCCTTATCGGCCCCCTGAACTTGATACCAAGGTCCATTGGCGCCGTCGAGTACGAGGCCCAACATCAAGGTTTTTCACAACCAGTTCTTCGATTCTAGATGTCGATGGTTCACCGGGCGACCACCTCCGCGCAATCATCATTAATGTGTGGAGCCTGTGTGGCGTGAGCTGCTTTTACCAGGGAATCTAATCCCATAGTCTTATGGTCTTGTGGTCGACGTTTGCATTCATTCCCCTAATTATATGCGGTGCAATATGGGCGCGCAAGAAGCTATGGGTCGGATGTACAGTGGTTGTGGTGGTTGTGGTGGCAGTTTGTACTCTGGTCCAGTCATTAGTGGATCATAGGTGGTGGCATGCCCTAGACCGAGAACATGATCCTAGCTGACGTTGGGGAGTTGAACAAAAGAATGGGTTCGTATATGCGCATACATCGTCCCCTTGAGTCATAGGTTTACCTCCCCGGACAACCCGATTTACGCCACACAATAACCTCGTTGGATCTCCAAACCTATCTGTGGGATTATTGCATGCCATGCTGCATAGAGATGCTCGTAGACTGCTTGACCTTCCCGAACATGGGCACAGTATAAGCGTTGTTGGACGATCGTTGGTGATGAGTTGTTGCTACATTGTATGTGTGCTGTGTGCAGGATCCCCGAGTCTTGGTAACTGTACCTTCTGCACCGCTACTCCTTAAAGCACATTTCACTGACCACCTCTCTGCAATATCTCGAGTTTTACGCATCAGATTAATCCAAATGAGGCTATGTTTACCGTTGTCGTGAAGACACCATTTAACACCACCTATACAACGGTAGACCCATTTCCGGCCACTCTTCTCTTTCTCGAGCCCTACGGCGTTCAGGATAGAATTTTGAGATATAAAAATAGCACATTCAGACACCTCGGTATCTCGCCTACCCTCTGTTCTAGTCTGAAATATTTTCAGCAAGAACTGCACGAGCATTAGCTCGTAGAACCCAAGAGGCCCTGGACCCATTTCAGACCCTAAAGCCGTTATCCTTTATCAGATGTGGTCGGCTATGCAGCATCCAGCCACTGCGGGCCAAGCACGGAAGTTTGCCTAGATTTAGAATGGTGCAGGTAGCCTTCTAATGGAATCAAGATTCTGACGGGCCTGCTTGTACAACAAAATGATGTACAGCTCCTTGCAGATCGAAACAATCGTGCTCGGATAGTGGGAATAAGGTAGCGCATGCATCTATAAACCCCAGAAAGCGGTATCTAGCCTCTTCGATTAGGTAATATTCAACATCCGGAGTTTTATGGATGGCAGAGTACTCTGATAACTTGCATGCACTCTAACTCGACAGTCACCCCATGGTGATTTGGCACCAACGTTGGCTTGTGCGAGGGTGAGGGCACCTCGTGTGCGGAAATATTTTGGTCAAAAACTTATTGCGGCTTTAGATATGGTTTTCCGCGTGACCTGAAAGTTATTGGAAAATGTGGTGACTCGCGGCGCGAGTAGAAAATGCATCGTTACGAGTCCTTTCAGCCGCGCGGGTTACACAGGGCTGATGCTCATCCCGCGGAATGGTGTACATGTAACCGATGCCCATCTGCGCTCTGCGCGGACCCACAGGTTACACAGAGCTGATGAGGATCGGTGTGCAGAATGTAATCCCGCGGAGTTACCTACTATTTGCAATAATGAGAATGGTTTGCACAGCATGACATGCTGCACAAACCTCACTCCGCGGAGTTTTGCAAAAATTGCGCAGCTCTGTGCAATCAATCAAGCACACCAATGAGTTAGTCCCAGGGTTCACATCA